CAGGTGGCATCCCAATATGTGAAATAGCTCTTCATGATGCAATAAAAATGGGCAAATGTCATAATGCTTGGAAGGAGATGCGAAGATGTCATTGAAATAACAAATATTTTATCCTCATCTCCATGGCTCGGAGGCACATAATTGTGTTCGCTGGAATTTGTTGAAGTATGCTGAATTGGATTGAGTTTATCTCACGATGATGTAGATCGAGTTAGGGGTAATATTGTCAAAAGATTTGTAGGGGTACTTTAAGAGAAGATTATTAGCCTTTTTGTGGTTTGGGTTCATTCTTGCATATTTCCTATGTGGGGTCTATTTCTACTTGATGTTTGAGTGGTTGTAGGCGACATATCATCTTCCATTGCATGGAGAATTGGTGAGTGGTTTCTAGAAGCATTTGGACTTGGGCTCGAAATCTATAACAAGTCCTATATTGTGCTTGAAAATACAGAGGCGAATTTTGAATTGATTTAGCATGATAACCCACTGGGGTAGTTCTTTTGCGCTTTTTTCTTCTCTCTTCCTCGCTTGCATCATGTCATCATCATCATCATCGTCAAAGCCTGTTCCCAACTATTTGGGGTTGGTTGTACAAATCCTGGTCTGCCATTCTGCTCTTTCAAGGACCATACTCTTAGTGAGGCCATAAGTCCCCATATCTTTTCTCACTAATTCCAACCATATCGTTTTGGGCCTATCCCTTGTTCTTTCTGAGCCTTCTACTTGAACCAACTCGCACCTTTTGATAGGTGATGTATTAGGTCTGCATTGGATTAGGTCTGGTTGCATCATATAATGCCTTAGATTTAAAGAATTACTTGGTGATACAGGGGAACCATTGTGCATCGTTTAATGTTTGGCCTAAGTTGCTGGAGACATTTTGGGACTCATGGCAGTAGGTAGCAAAGGGCATCTGATACAATTTTGATGGTCGAAATGTTCAATATGTCATTGTAAAACCTTGATATGAGTGAGAATTCTTCTAGTGTGGTAGAAGCTGCTCTTCAGTAAACCAAGATAGGTATTCATGATTGGATATGAGCAATAGAAGTTGTTCCCTTGTAAGTATGTGGTTGCATTGATTCTTGCAATCTTGAAAATTTAAAGTTTGAGTGATGAAAGTGAAAGTGGTAGGATAGTGAAACGAATAAACAATGTGATATTAAGGCATTTGAAAGATAACAACAGAGTTTGAACGATCAGAATTTTCTGAGGGTAGAATTTATTGGGAGGTCTAACCCATAGAAGTATCGGCCATCTGGTAGAGATAAGAAGAAAAAAATAGCAAAGTGTGATAAAGCAAGTGGCGAGAAGAGAGTAGATATTAAGCTGAGACTTGCTAGGTTTAAGTGAAGGCAGGGTGTGGTAGTCCCTTTTGTATTTTGATCACCGAATTCTTTATTTCATTATTTGTTGTAGCCAGTGTTCAAAAATGCGGATTCGGCTACCTAGGCATTTTGGGTGCTTGGTCGCCTAGGCGCCCAGGCGCCTGCCCAGAGATATGGTGCCCTCACCAAATTACAATAACACTTAAGTAAGTATATAACATCTTAGTTTCACTTCCACATAAGACTTAACTCATTAAGATATCACATAATCAATTATTTATCAAATAAAGTAAAACAAAAGTAATAAAATATCAAAACATGGCACATTGTACAAAAAAGGAATCAACGACTCATAAAAGAATACGATATACGCTAAATTTCCTCGTCCAAGTGAGAAAAAATTTCAATTAATTCTAAAAAAAAATCAATCTTTTAACTATAAACATGTAAATATACAGTGAAATAAAAAAAAAACTAAAAGAAAAAACACGTGATTCACAACATAATATATTGTAGCAAAATCAAATCAAAACCCTCTTTCAAATAGGATAATGCTTTAAAAATAGCAAAATCAAATCTGTCACCTCGTCTATTGGGTCTCCAAAAGTCATCGAAATGAACTACTAGAAGCTCTAAATCCTCCCATGAACTATTGCCTTTGTTTTGGAAAGAAATAAAAAAAATAAAAAAGTTACCAATCTTTCGATAAATCTCAAAAGAGTGGGTTTTGGGGAGTTTTTCTCACCCTAAAGCCACGGTTTTGGTTTTGGGGGGTTTAGAATACCCGCCAAAACCCTTTTCCCCGTTTTAGGGGGAAGAATGACTTTTTTAAACCCTCAACGAGACCCATTTTCCGCGTTTTCTCAACCTGTCACGCAAGACACATAGCGCCTAGGAAACAGCTAGTCATTTTTAAAAAATTTCCGCCTAGGCGTGGGCGAACTTTCAAATACTGCTTGCAGCGTTGACCTCTTTTCGGTATTTTCTTCTTTCTTTTTCTCTCTTTGCCAATCTTTATATAAGTCATGGCTGAGAGGCAAGAAAATAAGAGGTTGGGAGAGGAAGAAACAAAAGGCAAGAGAGGAGATGAGAACATTGAGATTGGATTGTTGAATATATAGATAGAAGTGCAAAAGAGTATGGAGAGGGAAGGGAAAGAGATTAACAAAGGGATTTCTGCTGTCTGTATGTATGTATGTACGTATATATGTATGTATATGTTTATGCATGCATGTGTGTACACGTGTGTGTATATAGTTTCTATAGTATTAGCTTAGGGGCCAAAAATTCTTAAGGAAAAATACCTATCCTTGTGGATTTGATGGTCTCCATGTTTTTTACCTATGTTATCTTGAATCTAGTGAAAAATTCCCCCCGCACCCCCAAAAAAAAAAAAGGAGAAAGGAAAGGGAAGAAACTAGAAAATGGGTTTATTTAGTTGAGAGAAAATTGGGGTGAACATCGACTCTTCGCTTTTTAATTTGAGCCTTTAAGACGACACAATCTTTGTTTTTTTCTTTTTCAATTTTAAAATTGTTCATTTGGTGATGATGAGAACATCTGCGAATTTGGGGTCAAACAAAGCCCCCTAAGGCCTCAATCTAATGCCATTTTTTTTCCTTTCTTGAGATGGGCAGCTTGTATTCACTGCATTTTTTCTCTTTTAAAACTTTATGAGTCAAAACAAATTCAGTTAGTTTGTTTTTTTTTCCTCCGTGAGCTAATATTGTATCAATTAGCTTAAGGGTGTGTATAATCGTTTTTCCTACACATACACCAAAACGCTAGCTATTGGCATGAGTGTGGTTCAGTGCTTCAGAAAAAAAAAAAAAACTGAAAGATAAAATTTGAAAACTTCAATCTTAATGTTTTAAATCATTATATGTATTATTTATGTGATCATTTAATTTCTCATATTTAAATTCTAAAATGTATTTATTTTCATGTTTAATTTAGTTCGAGAATTAAAATAATTTTCTATGTATTTGTTTTGCTACCATTTTTCGTTCTTGCTTATTTCTATTAAAAAATATAATTATTTAATACATGAGGCAAATGTTTAAGGGGAGAAAGATGATTTTTTTGTTTGGTTGGTTCACAATAGGTTTAGATTAGGATGCAAGAAAATTTATAAGAGTTTAGTACGAGAGAGAGAGAATTTGGAAAAATGAAAGGGAATGGGAGATGTGACTTCTGCTTGAAAGCGACACTCTTATCTTGAAAAATAATACACTAGAATATGTAGAACAAAATGTCCCGGCCCCATGTTGGTGAATGATAGCCATCCGATGATTCAATTTGGGTCCCATTCTGTAGGGCCCTTGGACTCTTATAATCTAAGAAACCACACTTTTAGAAAACCATGTTTGTGGCATTTGTGCCATCCTAAATTTTGCATAGGCACTCTCTTCATCCCTACAATAAATACGAAAAAGATAGAAAAAAAAAATTCAATTTGCACTCAAAATGAGCCCCCCTCTAATGAATCTAGTCTGTCCATTTGGTGAAATTTAAGATCTAGGCCTTTGGGAATTCAAAACCTAATGATAATAAAGCCGTCTACAAAATTTGGGAAATGAAAAAGTTCCCTTTAAATCCTAGATCTAAACATCTCCCAAATGGACAACGTATGTTAAGTGGGATGAAAAGCACTTTTTGGGTTGTATTTTTTTTTTTGATTGTTCATCAAGATATATTTTTACAAATTGGGGTCAAACAAATGGCCCTAGCATACTTTTTGGAGATTGTTTCAATAGATTACTGTAAAATCGTGCATGAAATCACTCCCTACACACACACACACAGCTATTTACTGGTAGAATCCTCTCTGAGTAGTGGTGTTAAAGAGATGAGAAAATCACAATAATGTTGGTTACATGAGGAGTGCCTGGGGCCATTGCTGCTCCGATATTGCAAAAATTTTCTAAAGGGGTTATGATGTTCTCTATGTGAACTATATTGATAAAAATCAAGGGACTGCTCCAGTTTCAAATGCCCCAGCAAATACTACCCATGTTATGGTACCTAATGTAGAGGGAATATTGGGTCACTCATGTTTTCAATAATCCACTCAACATTGGTCCTTTGTGGCTCCTTTTTGCAAACTTTTCGTAGAATCCCTTGTGATTCTCTTGCCTTGAAATACGATAGCTATAAAAAAAAAACAGTGGAAACGAACTCCAGTTTCAAATACCCCAGCAAATACTGCACATTTTATGGTACTTAATTTAGAGTTCAATTTGGCCATTTACCTTTTTAATAACACTCAGCATTGTAGGTGGTCCACAGTGTCCTATTGCTATTCATGTTTTGGGTGGCAGAATAAAAAAAGTGGATGCGTTATTGAAATAGTGAGTGGCTGAATTTGCCCCCTAAGTCTATGAAACATTGGGTATACTTCACGTCGAATGAGAAGGCACGGTAATAATATCGTAACCATTATTTAGCTGGGTGATGATGTTGGGTTCTCATGGAGCTCCCTGATGCATGTCTGTGCCTGTATATTCCTGTTCTTAGAAGTGACCTAACTGATGTCTTTAATCTGCACATTGAATGCCGCATAAAAATTTAGTATTTCAGTTGGGGAGGGATGGAAATTGGTTTACAACTTTATATCATCATAGATTCTCTTTATGGGAGTTGTCTTCTGATGTTATATGTCATGTGACCCAGGCGAAGTATATTCAGTTGCATGCAGTCCAAGAGACACGACACTGGTTGCAACCGGTGGTGGTGATGATAAGGGCTATATTTGGAAAATTGGCCAGGCAGACTGGTCTTTCGAGCTTCAAGGTGCTTGAGGAAATTTTGTATTTTGAGCCAGAGTCTGCTTTGTTGTTTCAGAAAGTAACATTAGTAATCGTGCTTGTACTGCTATTTATGCTGGATATTTCCTAACCATTTGTATTCTAATTCTTTACACAGGTTTTTAATGCTTGTAACCTGGTCCTTGTTGATATGCATGCACCCACATGCACAACTTTGTATGCATATATGCGCATCAAGTTTGTGCTTCTTATGGCTGCTAGATGTCAGCAAATGAAGTCTTTCACCCACTGACACATACTTTACCTGTACATGTTTGTACATCATGATTTCCTATGTATGTACCTGCCTATATGCATGCACCCACACACACAACTTTTTGTATATGTATATGCATCAGTTTATGTAGATATGTGTATACTTCTTATGGCTACTGGTTGTCAGCAAATGAAGTCTGAAGGACACAATTATGGCTCAAAATGCACATGCTAAGTCCAAGAAACTTGGAAAATGAGGAAAACTTGGGGGTTGGATTTCTATGCCCATCTAAACTGCACAATGTGCAGCACCTGGGCGGGTATTGTAGCGGCTCACCTGAGACCCGACTACTATGAAACTTGGTTTAAGATGCACAGTACTCAGGTCAGTTTCTACAGCACTCGACTGCGTACTATACATCTTTTGTGCATGACACCACCACGAATGCTTGGGGTTGTTCAGGGGTTGACACCTAGCAAAACCTGAGTAACTTTGGACAAATCGGAGTTGGATTCATTGAGTTGTAAATATTGTTTTAATGGGATCCTTGATTGGATCTTTGGGTGTTACTGGTTTTTGTTATTTATTATCTCGTTTTGTTTTGATGTGCATATTTCCACAAGCTACTAGTGCAAGTGCTAGTATATTTCATGGGCCATGGGGAGAACTAATGCCATACTTGGGTCTGGTGGACTGTTGTGGTTGTCAGCTTCCTCAGCTAACCTCTTACACATTATGTTGCTTGTACTGAGCCGATGGGGTGCAAGTGAATCCCTCTGGTTCAGATAAATTGATTATGTGACTAGGTGACTTACACATGGTGCCAAATGGGTCTGTCAATTAAAGTATTTCTTGCTTGCGCATTGGGTTCGTACAATATCTGCTGCTAGTGGCTATTGTTGTAAGTGCTTAATCAGAAGGGTTTAACCATTACTTTGATTGTAGGAAATTAAGGTGAATGTAACAATCCTAAACTTTCAAAAAAAAAAAAAATATAAATAAAAAAATAATTCTTTATAGTGTGATGGTCCATATAAGTATTATGGTCCTTAGGGACCATCACCACTTTTGTTAGCTTTTCCTTTCATTACCACGTCCTTTAGTGGATGTGGGCTTTAAACGTTCAGGTGTAATATAAATGTTACACCTCATGTATGAGGTGTAACTTAATAAAATAATATAATAAAGTATCTTAAGAATTTAAATAGGAGAGGCAAGGACTTCCACCCTAGAAAATTTTTGAGATCTTTCTCTCTCTAAACGAAACGCAGTGAGCTCTTTCTCTCTCTAGCCGAATTTTTATCGGAAGCTCCCTCAAATATTTTAGGTAAGTGACTTCATTATCTTGAAAAATAATCCGTTTTTTTTTAAAATGAAATGAAATAATTACTTTTGCTTACTATCATAAATTTGAGGCGCGATAAATTTTATGCGCAAGCGACCTCATTATTTTGAAAAATAATATTTTTAATAAAATTGTGATATTTTATCTATGCTAGAAATCTTAAATGCTGTGAATTCTTAGAAAAATAAATTTATTTATTTTTCTTGTCTATTGTTAGAAAATTTTAGATACTGTAAACTTATTAAAAATAAATGTGATATTTTTGCTTTTAGTAAAATTGTGAGATTTCTTTCTATTGTTTTTGAATATTTAGACATTGTAAATTTCATGTGCAAATGACTGCCTTATTATTTGAAAACTGATATTTTTGCAATTAATTATAGCATTTTCTGTGAAATGTTTATTTGCGAATTAACATTCCATAAATTGTGATAATTCCGTATTCTTGAATTTCTATAAGAGTTTTTCTATACATATTAGATTGGCAATTATGCTAGAATGTCTTTACGAACTGCTACCTTTCTAAATTTGAGCCCAAAATATTTGATTGGTTATTTTTGAAATGTTATTGAAAGTGACTGTTATTAATGGTTTCAGTGAAATTCATATTAATAATTTCAGTGATATGTTGAGTACATGATATTTGCTGCTTTCGATGTTTAAAGAGATTTAGAAATACTTTATGTATGCAAGTGGACTCATCCGGTTCGCCTGTGAGGTATAAGTGGATCTATCAGGTACGTCAGTAGGGATTAAATGGACTCATCCGGTACGTCGGTGAGGTATAAGTGGACCTGCAGGGATTAAGTGGACCTATCTGGGACGCCGATAGGGATTAAGGGGACCCTTCAGGACGCTGATGCGGTATATAAGTGACCTACTTGGGACGCCAGTAGGGTAATTTGTGAAATCCTTTAAATTATGCGCCGCCGTTAAAATGTTATATGCATTTTAATTATTCGGATTATACTTAATTATGCATTTTTGAAAGTGAAACTGTTAATGCATTTCTGTTAATAGATCTCCTTTTTGAAAATATTGATATCTTTCAATCACGATTATTTTTAGGATTATGATGGTCACTTACTGAGTAGCCAAACTCATCAAACTATGGTAAACATTTTTTCAGGATAACTGTGGTTTCATTTTGAGTGCTCGTCAGGATCTACTTTGGAAGATATTGTAGTTGTGCTTAAACTTTCTTTTGTTACTTTGTAAGAATTCGCCACTGTAAATTTGTCCTATCAAGAGACGTATATATGTTTTGACTGTCACATCTTAGGAATATCAGTATTGTAAATTCTTGGGGCGTGACAGTGAATGAGTAGTGTATTTAGGCATTTGAGTTAGGTTTGGGTATTGCTTACTTGCGGATTCATCACCAACTCATGACAAGTGCACTGTCATCATGATACTTTGTGCTTAAAAAAAATTCTTTACGCATTTCTTGTGACACTTGACCCATAGTCCTAAGGCTGTATAAACAATGTAAGATCCTAGTGGTAGAGACTATCTGTTCCTAGTATGTTATTAAGAGTTACTTAAAAAGCAGTTTATCATATGCCCTAAAGGTAGTTTTCCTGTGTCAAACATGTTACACAATTGGGCGCTTAGTGTCACATGGCTAGGGACTTGCTTTTGCTTCGTTGGATCACTACGAGCATTCCATCATGTGTGAGGTTGTCATGGGTAGCTGCCAATGTTCTGTCCTCTACAGTCCAAGGTATCAAACTAGTTTCAATCCATATCAGTAAGCCATAAGGCCTATAACATACATTAGAAGTCAGACTAGCATCAACTAATGTTCAAAAATTCGGCAGCTTGGTGCAGTCATGTTAAAAAGAGGAATAATGTTGTTCCAACCTACGTGGACATGTTCGTAGGTGCCCTCCTCAGCGGGCCAAGATGCAGGCCTAATGCCACACCCTTGAAAAAAAGCCCCTTGAAAAAAAATTTGTTAAGGCCTATAAAAATGGTTAATGCCCTTGTTTCTCTTGCTCACGGGTCCATGTGCTCTCTCTGTACATATGAGAAGAAGAAGAAAAAGAATATGGCCTCCAGGTGTTCAATACAAGGCCGCTCTCTCTCTCTCTCTCTCTCTCACACACACACACACACACAAACACAGAGCTCACATGGACCCATATACTCTTTCTCTACCTATAAGAAGAAGAAAAAGAAGAAGATGACTTCCAAGTGTTCCATGCGAGGCCCCTCTCTCTCTCTCACAGACTCATTCTCTCATCACCCTGTCTCTCTACATATAAGAAGGTGAAAAAGAGCATATCCTCCAAGTGCTTGATGCAAGACCTCTTTCTCTCATACGTGGACGCATATGCTTTCTTTCTCACTCTGCATATGAGATAATCGAAACAAAGATGACTTGCAAGTGTTTAATGGGAGTCCTCACACACACAGGTGCCTCCCCTCCCCCGCCCCCCAAAAAAAAACAAATATGCGCCTTCCTAGGTGGCCGCTGCTTCCTTTTGGAACATTGGCATCAACTATTCAATCATGGGAATACACATAAAAAATATATGGACAGATATTATGAATCAATGTACAACACAGAGAGCTGTAAAAGGAGAATGTCACCATTCATATAATCTACGAAACTGGACCTAGGGGAGCACTTAAATTTTTTTGTGGGTATTCAATATTCCTAACCTTCTAAGTTTCTAACTAAAAAGAAATTGTGGAATCAGCGCACATCAAAATTTTCAGGCTCTATGGTTTTGAGCTCTAGTTGCGTGTTGGCTTTATATGGTTTTACAAGTCAAAGTGGCGTGTTAGGACATTCATGTCATTTTGATTTAGATTGCATCATTTATGTTAGAATTGGCCTCTATTTGGAGGATACAGGCATAAAACACAATTCAGACACATTACACTGGGGGATTTTATTTTCTTCGCCTCGTTTAAATTGACACATGGCTTATGATTGGAATGTGAGTTTGGTTGTTTACTATTTTATATTGTATTTTGGGGAGTTTGCTAATTTCTGTTTGTCTTTTTATTTGTCTCACGTGCTTCATTTTGTTAACATTTATCAGGCCACAAAGAGTCGGTGTCGACTTTGGCCTTTAGTGTTGATGGGGAATTGCTTGCTTCTGGAAGCTTTGATGGGATTGTTCAAGTGTGGGATGTTTCTTCTTACAGTTTGAAGTGCGTCCTAGATGCTGGTGAGAGCATTGAGGTAAAATCTTGTAAAACCTGCAATGTTATATAATATTGGGCGTCCTAGATTCATTTTTTGTGAGGCAGTTACTCATTTTTATTGAACTGTTCAGTGGATCAAATGGCATCCGAAAGGACATGTGATCTTGGCAGGTTCTGATGAATCAAATGTCTGGATGTGGAATGCTGACAAACATGCCTTACTCAATATGTTCAGTGGTCATGGTGGCCCTGTTACCTGTGGTGATTTTACGCCTGATGGTACTGTATAGAATGCATTTTTTGACTTGGGAATGCGGTTATCTATCAATAGATATTACTGAACTGGCTGTAAGAAGTCCTCCATATCACTGATTACTTGAGACTGCTGTAGGTAAAACAATTTGTACTGGATCCGATGATGCATCACTGAGGATATGGAATCCAAAAACAGGGGAGAAGGTTCACGTTATTGAAGGTAACACTGTGGTTTCTTTTTTGATTATTTACTGCTGCAATATTTTTCGCCTAGTGCACATGCACATGGCCATGCATATTTTGTCTGGTTGGAAGTCCCAAGTAATTGGAAATTTGAAGTTTGAGGCTTTTCCATAGGGGTTTCATGCTGTTTTTTTTTTTTGGGTAATTATTTCATGCTGTTCTCATGCGTGTTAAAAAGGAAGCATCATTTAAAGACATTGGCTGCACTCTGGAGTCACACCTGGTTGAGCCAAGGCTATTGAGTTATGATGATTCTTTCTGAAATTTGCAGTAATATGAGAAGTTGAGGTCTTTTTGATTGCTTTACATACGTATGTGTAGATATCTTCATGTCTGTGCTTGTGCCTATTTACTTGTGTTTTCATGTTCTACTTAGTTTCCGAGTCAAAATAGGGAAAATTATCAAATTACCCATAAGAGATTAACAATTAACACTTCACCCATATCTTTTGAGTCAATTTCAATATATCCATGAAATAACACATGGTCTTGTGTTGGAATTGTTCCAAAAATGCAAATTGTTAAATGGTGAACTCTTATGGATATTTCCATAATTTTCGATTTAAAATATGTTGTGTGGCATTTGCTGTGCATAACCTTCAAACAAGTTAAACAGGAGAATATGATGATATTATCAACCTTGAGAGATCTTCCTTTCTCAATTTAGATGAACCAATAAAACTAAAGGCAGTTTTTCCATGATCCACTCATTCCCTTGCACAACCAATACTTTGGGTTGCATGGGGATGATCAGACCCTCACCCTATTTCATGGCCAATTTGGGGATGCCTTCTTCTAAGCAATCTTAAATGTTTCCTTGTTTGTGTTTGCACCCCAGGGATACTTTTTTATTCACTTCATTTCATGAGTAAAACTTTTTTTGTTTTGTTTTGAAATTCATGAATAAAACTGTTTTTAGTTTGATATTATCATTATAGTCATGAGCTGCTCCACTTTTATGAATTTTGTCAGTAACTTGTGTTGCTGTTGGCTGTGTAGCTTATATGGAGAAACAACCCTTCAATAGTAGGACTGTCATATTCAGATTTGAGGCTGCTTGTTGCCTTTCGTCTTCTCATTCATTTTTCTCTGTGTAGGCCATCCATATCATACAGAGGGACTGACCTGCTTAACAATTAGCTCAGATTCATCTCTTGCTTTCACTGGTTCCAAGGATTGTTCAGTTCATGTAGTCAATATTAAAACTGGGAAGGTTTGATCTCTCTTTCTTTCTGTTTGATACCTTAAACCATGTATGTTATCTTAATGAACTTAACGCACCTCCTGATCATATTAAAGTAGATGGATGCCAAGATTGACCTGTGACTCTCTCTTCTCATATTTTCTCTTCGTACAAGAATCATATATTTCTTATCTGAAGTGAGTTTGACTTTAATTGTCTAATTCACTTTGTCAAGGGGATAAATTGATTCACTAAAACTCAGAAATTCTACATATATCTTGTCATCATCTCATCATAGCAATCTATGAAAGCAGATAAGTGAGAACATGCAGTAAAGCTTTCTGATAAAGCTCCTCATCGTTTGTGATATGTCCTTGTCCCTTTCTACCAGTGGTTCGAAACTCAGTGACTTGGGATTGCACTTGTCCATGTTGCTTGGACCTGTCAAGGTGCGGGATTTGGTTTATAAGCCTTTAGACTCGGCTGATTCTTACTGGGTCAGGGACCCTACTTTGTTCTTTGTCAGAGACTCGGGGATTTGGATCGTTTGACTCCAGGCGTCCAGAAAACCAATTAGGGCTTGACTGGGCATTCTGACATCACTTTCCATTTAGAGAACAAAGTTTAGCTCATCTTCATTGCAATTTGTCGGGTATGCTAAAAGGGAATTATTGATATGTAATGAGTAGTGTCGGGAATGTTCAAAGAAAACTATGGATTAGTACTTAGTGACTTGGGCTTGCACTCATCCATGTTGCTTGGACCCGTCAAGGTGCCAGATTTGGTTTATAAGCCTTTACACTCGGCTGATTCTTACTGGGTCAGGGACCCTACTTTGTTCTTTTTTCAGAGACTTGGGGATTTGGATCGTTGACTCCAGGCTTCCAGAAAACCAATTAGGGCTTGACTGGGCATTCTGACATCACTTTCCATTTAGAAAACAAAGTTTACCCCATCTTCATCGCATTTTGTCGGGTATGCTAAAAGGGAATTATGGATATGTAATGAGTAGTCTCGGGAATGTTCAAAGCGAACTATGGATTAGTACTGAGAAACTTTGAGTGGGGTTTATTCTCTTTCAAATGTTTGTTTCATGAAATAGGATAGAAAATATTTAAGTTTGCTTGGAATTTGGGCGCCTAGCTTGATTGGAGTGTTCACAACTGCAATAATGTCCTCTTTTCGAATTCCACTGTAAATCTATCCAAAGAAGAGGTTTGAGCTGGATAGTTTATTAGTGGATTGCAGATGGAAGCAAAACAATGAAAGTGGTTAATTGTTTCTATATACAATATTGTAGGTTGTTATCGGGAATGCCAAAGGAATGTCCTATATTAATAGTTTCTTTTTTTCTTTTTGCTTTTATTTACTTATGTATTTGTCTTTCTAGTGCCTTGCAATGGGAATTTCATCTGTATTTTTGGTTGCTTTTTTTGGTTGTAATTTTATTATTTTTTATTTCTCAATAGAGGGGGTTGGTGAGAGGAAAAATATGGTAAACAATTCATGTTTACCTTTGTGGTTGACCTACTCAACCTATTAATGCATTGCAGTTGTTGCCTAAAATTAAACATGCAAATAGTCTTATACTACTTTTAATACGTCCAATATGACAATATAGCATGCTTTTATATAACATAACATTGATTCACGTGGCGTTGTTCATAAACTGATGGAAATTGCTCTTTCTTTGCAGGTGGTCAGTTCTCTAGTTGCTCATTCTGGATCCATTGAGTGTATAGGACTTTCACAAAGGTATACTTACCATCCAACATACACCTTCTTTGACTTTAAACCTTGCCAGATATTCGTATAATGATAATGTATACTATAGCCTATAAGTGGTGAATCCCTTCGTCTCTGTTGTTGTTTTAATATACTTGTGGTGATACAGTAGGATATTCAGAGTCTCTTAGTACCTATTTGGCAATTGAGAAATAGGAGAAAACACCCTGTTCTCTCAGCTACCGATGCTTTCCCCTTTTGGGGAGGGAAAAGCGTGGAAACATGGAGAATTGCAGGGCTTCGCATTGTAACAAATCTCAACTCACAACTCATGAAAAGTCACAACTCAATAGGACATTAAACAAAAAAACTCATGACAAGACAACAAATATGATTAATTCAAATTTGTAGTTGAGTTTCATCATCACTAGCAATTGACAAATCCATCTCTACGACCATTGTCAACTCATGAAAAGTCACAACTCAATAGGACATTAAACAAAAAAACTCATAACAAGATAACAAATATGATTAATTCAAATTTGAAGTTGAGTTTCATCAGCACTAGCAATTGACAAATCCATCTCTACAACCATCACCTGAATTTGGGAGTGATGCTTAGCAATCTTCATAAGAGTTATCACCCTAATCTTCATCGTCCTTTTCTTCCCTAGTCTCCTCTGAGTTTGCCTCTTCCTCCTCCTCTCTTACTCTCATCAGCCTTTCCTTTTTTGAGGTTGAGATCTAGTTACCATTCACAGTGCTTGATGCGGTTCCAGATGCCTCATGACCTTGGCTTCATGTCACGCACTCTCTTATGAATACTAGTTCATCCCCATCACCGTCGACCAACCATTCATTTGCTTCATCTGTATCTTTCACAACAATTGGGTTGATTTCATTTTGTTCCAAATGCTGCTCGTTCAATTTCTGATTATAGTAAATGAAGACAGGGTTGTTTAGTTTCTTCTAATCGATCCTATTTCACTTCTTTGTATGTATTCATCGGATACTGCATGAATGTAATACTAGATATTTACAACTTAAAAATAATATAATACAAGTTAGGACCGTAGGAGATGAGGGCAAATGGTGAAATGGTAATGAGTGAGAGTCAGTTAGGAATTTACAATCTCAAATGTGAAGTTGCACTAAGAACTTGATGATGCAAAAGTCAAGTTCAAAATTTGTTAAGCCATCTTCTGCAAGTGCGCTTTGCCTACCTTGAAGCTATAATGCATTAAAAATAAATAGAGACTGTATCATTGAATATATTCAGAAGTCAAGTGAGAACTTAGAACTTGAACATTTATTGATACTTGGTCTTGGACATCCACACCAGGGTTGGGTTTTCCATTGCACTGGTTGATTGCTTGCATGAAACAACCCATCGATTGTATCTCAGGATCAGCATAGCTACAACTAGGGTTGAGATAGTACCCCCTGCTATGTGTACAGGCCTCTCCAGCTGTGAATTCTATTTATCTTCTACAAATTTCAAAATAAGGGTGTATGTACTTTCTTCATTCTCCACATTCCTCTTGATTTCTTCTTTTCAACCTCCATTGCCTTGTAAATATGTCTCTTTGGTTGTTCCCTTTCACTATGCATAAGGCACAAAACTTTTCCAAGTGGCTAAATAAGGTGGATGCAGTAGCTAACATCATTCCAAAATCAGGGTTTGAGAACAATGCCACCTGCCTTTTCCAATATGAAGAGGAAAACATGCTCCTGAAATTTGTAAAAGATATGAAAAACTGCAGTTTCTTTTGTATCCTCTCCAGCACTTCCATCTTGGTTATTGCCTCTAGGTTAATGCAATGTGCCACACACGGTGTCTATAAAATGCTTGGCCTCTTCACCTCGAACATTCTAGCAACCATTATGGTGGACCTTAGCCATGTCATTAACTACCTATATTACATATGCCTCCCCCACCTCCTCAATACACTTATGTATGAACTCAAAAATGAAGTTCATATAATGAAATTTGTTAGATGCGTTAATGGACTTCAACAAATGGTCCCCACAGTAAAATTCGCTATTTAGTTTATAACGCTTATAATCCTCTTATTGGTTTAGGTATCCGTCGTTAACATGACCTCACTCTTGCTCTATGTATCCTTGTGGCTCATGAGGTATAAGACCTTATATCTTGGCCAAAACTGCCCCTGCCCTACTGCTACCAATGTAGCTTGGAAGCTCTTTAAGCTAGCAGTATTGAATGTCTATAGTCCTGAAAGTGATTCTAAATGGTAGTCTACCCCCTTCCTTAACCATCACCTCAGGATCCAGTGGGGGGGTGAGAATTCGTGGACCCCTTTCTTTGTGGCCTCTTATGCCCAAATGACATTGGGGAAGAAATAAAGCCCCTTTTCTTAGCATATTCATCAGCTTCTTCTCCTCCAAAAATATCTATAGATCTTGTGACATCTTCATATTTTTTCCTTGCCTGTTCTTTCTTCTCCTGGTGCCCCTCTAAATGATCCAACATCTCTATCCAACATCCCCCGGCACTTGAGTGTATGGGGCTGCATCCCCTCTAATGGCGACCAAATGTTTCTTCAACCGATTCATGAGCCCCTTTTTACAGTACTTACATGCCACCCTATTCTTTTCATTCAGATTGGAGCAAAATCCATGTTCCCAACCCTAATCAACTTGCCTATTTGAACCAATCTTCAATACACTTAGCATTAGTCTAGATGCAACAAATCATATTCTGGTATTTGACTACAAATTTGCAAAAAAAAAAAAAAAAAGAAAATCCAATTACCCAAATTTTGGAAAAAGGGCAACAAACCAATTGATAAGGGGCAGTAAATTTTTGAAGTACATAACTAATGTATTGATGCAATAATTTAGGTGTTTACTGCTGGTAATTTACAAAAAGTCAAGTATGTTCTCTAACATGCAACAACTCAATACTCAACTCAAGTATTGAATAAGTAATTTAACCCATCCTAGAAATCACCAAAAAGAAAAGAAAAGAAAACTGCATCGACCTATGTATTCAAAAAAGTTACATGCCACATCGAGTATTAGGGATATTAATGTAAATATCTCTTATTTAGGTACATTTAAGAACTTCCCTAAATTTTTTGTATTTTACAAGATGTCCCTTATTTTTTCAACTTATTTCCTGTTTCTCAAAATGCCCTTAAGTTGGATGCTCTAAGTACTGAACTAACATTGTCGCTCCACAATTGAAAAATGATTTTTGGCACTGTGAGTACCGAACATTGTCTTGTCTTAGTGTCCTGTTCGAGGCTCTCAGTGCTAAACAAAATCCTTTTTTTCTTTTACTTTTACAGAATCTAGTTTTATACTCTCAGCACCGAACATGTTCTTGGTTTTTTCCTTACAAGATCAAGTTGAAATACTGTTAGTACCGAACATTTTTTTTTAAAGAGAAGCATGATGCGGGGCTGCTGGGAAAAATTATTCTTATTTTTAATTTTTGTTTAATTTCAAAATATGGATGTTTTAATTTTATGTTAGGATTTATTTTTAGGGTTTTCCATGTTTTCTAAGGATGCTAGGGCTTTTTTATATTTTTATTTACTATTCACTTGTTATTATTCACATTTCCTGTTCACGGGTACTATTCATGAGTACTGCTTATGGGTACTGTTCATGGATATTGTTCATAGGGTAAAACTGTCATTACGAGTTTTAAGTTTAAGTTAGGATATACGGGTCAATGTATTATTTGTTTAGGTACGTTTTATACTTGGAAGATTAAAATAATATTATAAAAGGGGACTGGATGGGCTGGAGAGGCATTCACCTATTCCTCGTTTAAAAAAAAAAGACTTTTTGGAAAAGAAGAAGCCCAAGGCTTGAGCTGCCCTGGGTGGGAGGAAGCCTCAGGGTTTCTCCAAAATTGATGTGTCAAGATTTTTTTGTTGATTTCTACTGTTTTTTCAAGTTCTCTACATCAAATTGATATTAGAGCCCGCGATATGCACATAAAGTATTGTAGCAGTGTACGGAAGTTATTGTAACAGTGTATGGAAGTTATCGTAGCACTGTATGGACAATATTGTAGCGTCAATTTTTGGTGCCCTCGATCAATCTGGTAAATTACAGTCGGTCTTAGGTGTACAAATTTTGGACAAAGTTTTGCCAAATCAGCCTAGATCTTATTGTTTTCAGCGAATTTTTGTTGATTATTTGCTTAGAATTTGTGATTTCAGCGAACCATTGCAGTAAGAAGGGGACGTAGAAGGGGGATCTTTGTGGACCCACTTTGTGATCCTAGAGTGATGATAGAATTGAGGAACTTGAAAGGTAAGCTCAACAACTGATGCAACAATTTGCAAGCCTCAATAATGTGCAGGATCTTTCACCTTAAGAGTATGTCGAGTACAAGCCTTTTCATTTCATGATCCTCGTCTAGAGTTGAGTGATGAGGATAGCAACTGGAGACCTAGACGTGGGGTGCATCACTCTAGGGTTTTCAATTTGAAGGATGAGATTCTTGATTTTGACACAGATTGCATCGAAAATCAGCAAGTTGTAGATTGCGGTTCACCCCCAATCTTTGATACATACTCTGATGAACAAGAAGATCGTTTAGGGGATCCAATCTATGTTAAAGAAATTTTTTAGTGGGTGAATCAATCTTTGACGAAGAAAAAGATGAAGATTATAAGGATATCAAAGAGGTAAAACATTTAGGAGATTTAGGGCATTGGAATCAGAGTAGGGCAGTGGAAGCATGGTCGACTTAGAATTTTAAATTGTGGCACTAGATTCAGAGAGTAATGAAATAAATGTCGAGAGAGCCTCTAAAGACCAGAAAATTGAGTTTGGAGTATCTTACATGATTTTTAATGGGTGTTCAAGAATAGTCAAATTTGATAAATTTGCATCGATTCCTCAATAGATATATCAGGATTTGTCTTGAGGAATTCTTTTTACCACGAATAATATTTGAGCCAGCAAAGAAGGAGAAGATTGAAGAAGGTGGTTTTGATGTTGAATTCATCTTCGCACACTTCAAAACTGGAGGACAGATTTTCTCC